CAAACTATGCGTGTAACGTCGTTACTTGTTGTACACGACATGTCGCACATAAGCTACATGCGTGCAGTGGGCTCAAGCCCCATGAGAAACAAAAAGTCGAAATCCTTTTTTCGGCCCTCCCGAGGGGGAGGGGGGGGGGGGGGTACGTAGGTGTCGGAAATTTTTTTTCGGGCACCCTTGTCTCAGCTGAAAAATCTTGGATCTTTCTTACCTGTTGCGTGTCCCCCCCCCCTCCGCGGCCCCAGATTTCGATTCGTGGGCCTACGTGTCTTGAACGAAAAACATCCCTAACCTTGATCTGACACAATTATATTCTTGCCGGGAATCTCGGCCTCAATACACCAGCGGCATATACTCTCCGCAGGCCGAAGCACAGGATAGCAGTGACGACGGATCGCCGTTGCATAGCTTTCTCCTGTTCCCAACCTCTTGGCTGAAAAATACATGGTACCACGCGTCTACCAATATCGATACGGAAGACACACACGAGCACAAACAGTTCACATCGGCCGGACGATTGAAGTGAAGGTCGCCTCCGTTCCTTGGACGTGCGTGGCTTGCGCCCGCTGCATTTCGGGGAACTCCAACAGATGGGGCGCGGTAACAATCTCCCCCGCGGCAGAGAAAGGGTGAATAACACCGTCATCTCGGTCTCCCCGTCCCAATCTACGCTGCTTGCTTGCTGTGAATGGTGATGTTGTTGATTGTGGTGTTGGTCGTGCGGCGGTGGTGGTGAGATCGGGGGTGGCCTGTATGTTGATCGTGTTGTCGTTGGGTGGGTTTATCGTTCGCAGCACATGAGAAGACCGTCCGCCAGGCAGAACCGACCTCCGCTAGGCAGCGGAACATTGCCGTTCTCTTTCTTCAAGATACCGCGTTCCCCACATGACGATGCTCGTGGGATGATCTCATCAGTGAACGTTGAATCATGTAAGACCATTTACAGAAGGTCCCGACGGGGTAATTTTTTCTGAGGGACAGGCAACCGCATTTCTTGAGGCCGACTTTGGGCAGCCGCCATGCTTCTCATGGCTTGTTTTTTGCCCGTTGCGGCCTAACTACCCTCTCTCACTTCCCGTCCGTCGACACGCCTGTTTGGTTCACGGCTTACCCTTTGTCGCCTCACCGCTGCACCTGTTTGTTTGGGTGTTTCCTTCCATTACTCCATGCGCCTGTTGGCTCCCACTCTATTGTCTCGCCGCTGTGGCTCGTTTTTGTGTGTTGATGTTGGGCGCTTTTCCTTCAATGAGGGCGGGAACCCGAACAACGTGGTGTGGGTGGACGACCACCACCTGATGCTCCTGCCCAAGCTGCTGAACGACCGGGAGGAGGATGCCGCCCAGCACGGGCAGACCAGCACCATCGTCGTCCTGCACATACCCTTCCCCGTCAGCCAGATCTTCAGGTGTGACTGTAGTCTCGGATGCAGCTGTAAAGTACCACCGCGGATGGAGAGCTGGCCTAACCATTTTCCCACTTTTCGGTGGGGAAAACTCCCAGGTGTTCTCCCTTGACATTGTGTCGTGGGGTTAAGGCATCATACATGCTGCTTTTTTTCATTTTTTGAAGTGCGCATCGGTTGTACTTCCTTCCTCGGCTTCACAAGCGCATTTTCCCAAACATCTGACTAACCCGCCGCGACATTACTTCGTCTCCTACACTAGTGTATTCGTCAGACAGGCCCACCCCCCAACTCCTCTCATCTCGCACTTTGCCTTACGAGAGGGCTAGGAGCCTCACGAAAAGACTACGGCAACGTCTGCATGTATGCAGGACGAACAACTCTTGCTCACTGAACACAAGCACTCGCTTTTAGACATGATTCCCGTGTGGACTTGTCACTCGCTATTTTTTCCCCCGGCAGGGCCCTGCCTGGCACATGGTGAAAAGCTGCTGCAGGGCGTACTGTCCGACGACATCGTGGGCTTCCACACCTTCGGCCAGCCAGGTAGACTTCAAACAATGGAGATTTCGTGCTATGATACATACCAGTTGAACCGCTTCTCTGTTGAATCCACCGTTGATTAGAAATTTGTGCTCTTGGTTCTTGAGTAAAGCAGTTACCATGCCCCCCCCCCCCTCAGGTGCGCACGCCACATGTCTGTTGAATCTGGTGCGAATTGTAGTGAGATAGGGTGCAGGAAAGATGATAGTATTATACTGCGGCGCTCTCTCCCGTTGGCTCCGTTGCAGGTGCAATCGATCATGGGATCGGTTCGTTTGTTGATAGGGTACACCAGGTCGGGATGTGCACATATGTTTTCGTTACAACGTCTACATAGGAGAGACACGTGGCCAACAATGCCACTGACTACTGTATTGTGACTATTCATATTTCTTATTTCGAGGGAGGCTTGAGCTTTGGTCGGTCGTGTCGAGGCATCTTTTCACCTTCCCCGGCACATGGTGACGGAATCGGTAGAATGCTGCTCGTGCCATGACTGCTCCACGACTTTTCCCGCTCTCTCTTTCCTTCTCTCCCTCGAACGTTTCAGGCACTTCCTCAACGCCGGCAAGCGGTTGCGAGGGCTGAGCATCGAAGAAGGGCCAATCGGAGTGGAATTCGACCGCCGTACGCTGAGAGAAACAAAACTAGGGTAGGGATTTAGCATGGCTTTATGTCGTCGAGATGAGACGTACAAGTAGGAGAGATGCGATTTGTTTGTTTGGTTTCTGTGAATAATATATTCAAGACGAGGACCGGCCGTGCGGTTTGATTGACTTGCGTATACCTTGAGGCTGAAGGAACCGTGAGGAAGTTCAACTCCGACGTTCACAAGTGTCTACCAATGCCGTGGTTTGTCGTCCGGGCTTTTGCCCGTTCTGCTGCAGACCACCTCCTCCTATACAGAAGACGTACGGCGGCAGGTGTGCAAACGCTCCCACCGGTTCGTCCCTGAATGAATGAATGAAACCATGGATATTGCATCCGAAAGAATGGGATTACGTCCAGCCCAGGGCAACCCCATGTTGTGTAGACATGGCGCTGAAGTGCACGTCGGGGTGACGTCGACGAGGTAGAAGTTGGACCAGGCAGTGGTGGAGAGGCATCCACAACGGCCCGACCACAACAGACAGATGTGGCCCACGAGGTGTGGTGTCTGCTGCTGGGGTCTACTGCGGGTAGAACCGTATCCCATGGTAACGGTCGTGATTTGCGGTTTCTGGTGGAAAGCTTGTTCGACCTTGAGGTGCGTCGGTGAGGGATAGTGGACCGAGGAGTGTTGTGGCCGACCGTAGGGGGCGCGCCTACAGGGTGCTGCTGTGCCCTGCGATGTTGGTTGACTTGTGCCGTCTCTATGGAAAGGCCGATTCGTGCAATATCGAGTGCATGCCTCAAGATCATGCCGCCTGGGGAGATCCTTGACTAGAAGATTATATTGAATTATCGGAGGTGTACTGGTATGCATTAAGGGCATGCGCAGAGATAGCATAGCACGACATGAGGTAACATGAGTTCATGCAGCTGTGAAGGTTGCATAATCAAGTAAGAATGGAATGGGACGATGACAACCTCCTGAGAGAGTCGTGTGATCTGATCTGATCTGATCTGACCCGTTGCATGTACTACCGTTTGGTGTCGAGTCGTCCCCTGTTATGGCAAGTGACTTCACGACGAATGCATAGTTTCGACTATGTACACCACCAAGAACCACCGAATGACCGGTTATGCGGTATATTTCGCGGCATGCTCCATGGTATCTTCCGCGTTCTCTTCCGTAGTATCTTGCATGGAGTATTTCGTGGTCGAATCCGTGTTTTTTTGCGCGTCATCTTCCGTGTCATCCTTCGCGGTATCTTCCGCGAAATATTATCACGTTGTTATCCGTGGTATGCCTCAGCTAATTGGCAGCCATTGGGCTGCTTGATGGACCTAGCATCGGCATGTATTGTAGTCAACACGTCGTACCAAATTCGTTTGGCGACAACGGTGAGGGAATTCCAGACAAATCAAGGCATGGCAGACGACCCCCACCGCCACCGCCACTGACACCACCACTGAACGTTTGCCACGCCCCGCCCCTCTCTCTGCATAGGGTGATCATGGCCGGGGTGGACATACGCCATTAGCTGAGCGGAGTGGCCCTCAAGCTACTGGCCTTGGAAAGGATGCTGACGGGTTGCCCCAACCACAAGAATCAGCGTTGGTACAACAGCTGGATAAAACCTATCCACAAGCCGAAGAGCAGGACAGCAGGGATGAGAGCTCCCCGTTGCTTGGCATTGTCCCTGTTGCACGATGTCGCTCAGCAAATCTTCCTATTAGGTACATACCAACACGCAAATTTCCGAGAAAGAAAACTGTTGTTCACATCGGCCAGACGTTTTCATGTCAAAGGTTCCCTTTATTCATTCGACAGATTCGACAGATCAGCTGTGCGAGACGAACCCCCGCCGGATATCCTAGAAAGCCAACAGCAGAAACCAGCATAATCCCTCACGCGGAAGAGAGAGGGTGACAAACACCACGATTTCACCCCCCCTGCTGGTTCGTGCCGGTCAAGTCTTCACGGAATACCTGCAAACAAGTGCGCGATTGCGACGAAGCGTGAAACGGAACACCTGAAAACGTTGAACGATTGCAGTGGGAGCTACAGTAGTGTACCGTGACAGCAGCTCTAGCCGAGCGACCGCAAATATCAACATCGGGCCGGTCAACGGCAAACCTTGTTTTACCTCCCAGAGTGGTGTAGCGCACCAGCACGTGGCGTGGAGCACAATGTGGTCGAACGGCGAAGTAGGAACGACACAATTCAAGCGGTACAAATGTTCGCATAACCGGAACAACGAGGGAAAGAAAACAGCACGGACGTGCTTACAAAATACAGACCTGGCTCCCAGGGAAGAACAATCGAGGTAATGACGCTTGTTTTCGCCAACACCTGGAGCATCAACTTTTTCAAACAAGAAATTGGCCGTACCATCACGAAGTTCGTTTCGAGGCACAGGCAACCGGTATCTGAGGCCCCACCCACTCAAAAACATCAATCAAGATTGATACATCACACAAATTATGCCGGCATAAGTTCGGGCACTTGAAATTCAATCAAAAAAGCTACGGGGGGTGGATTTTGACGCCAAACGAGCGCACGCGGTAGCATTTCAAGGCTTGTGTAGTACGATATGCTGTTTGTACTACGAACGAACACCGTGCCAAGGCAATGGCAAAAATCGGCAACTTGTCACATACTCGTGTTTCGCAAAAAAGAAAACACGCGGGCCCAAGATCGCGTCTTCACGTTCTACATTTCCACGAGAGGACACATGAATGATGTCAGGATTGAGACAGACATGCCAAAACTCATGTGCTGGCTGTCGTGGCAATGATACAGTCGTACCGGGTCAACGAGGTTGAGTTTCCTCGTATATCGTGAAGTGGTGACAGTAATTTGGTGCCGTTCGAGGTCTCACGTCTTGCACTATGTCCTTGGTACTTGCTCCCAACAACGTCGGTGGACAATGTGATTCACCAGGTTCTCGTGCCTCAGATCTCAGGGTAAAGGGGAAGCATGGATATGCTGCAAAATAAACGGCAACCCGCGAAGCGCCCCAAAGTTCTTTTGTGCGGAGCCCGAGGTCGTCAACACCGACAATGATAGCTATGGCTGGCACACAAATGAGCTCGGCACCAGAAACACCTGCGTGGTTTCGCCTCATCTACCGCGAGTCTCGAGCAACAAACGCCACCGGTCAGTTGGTCATGGCTTCCAGAAGAAGGCATCACATCGATCGTACGTTCAGTGACTTTCCACTCTACCCACCTCAAGAGTGTCGCCACAAGCCCACAACGTCTCTTTGTCCGTCGCTTCAGGATCGGCAACATCAGCTTCAGTGCTGGCAAGGGCGGCTCGGGGTCAGTCTCTGTCGCACGACCGATGAAGGGAGCTCCGCTTGGCCACAGCCAGGACACGGCGTGGACTGCATCAACTCGCAGCAGCAAGCGGCAGATGGCCTCCAGCCTTTGCAGGTGCTCCTTGGTAGCGGGTTTGCCATCTGCTACAATCTTCTTACGGAGGCGTAACTTTGTGAAAGCCAGAGGCGTGTCGTTGAATACCACCCCTCCCTTCAAGTTCATGACTTGAACAGGCGATGTCGTATCTGCTCCAGCGTCAACGAGCATCCGCACGATCCTGGGAGCTTGCGAGAAGCACCCCTGAGTACAGACAACCAGGGGCGTGTAGCCGTTAACGTCGCGGGCATTGAGGTACGCACCTTCAACGCCACATCCACCTTCCTTGTGCCGATGTCGCAAGAGAAACTTGACGGATGCCTCATGGCCCATCCCGGCGGCAAGATAGAGAGCCTTTCCCGTGTCGACCACGCCGGCTTCGGTTAGGATGGCCATGATGTCCAGGTGCTGGTTCGACGCCGCAAAGGCGAGAGCGTGTGCACCGGCGCTTGTTGCATCACAACCTTCAATCCCAAGCTCCTGAATCAGCTCGCGCACTACGTCGGTGTGCCCGTGTTTGGCAGCTAAGTCCAGTGGGACCGTCGTAGTGTTTCCTGGCGGGGATGTTTGAATCAATAACGGGTTCGCGTTTCCACGAAGCAGCTCCCTCATCACGGCCACTTGTCCCTCTTCAGCCGCGATGTGCAGCGCTGTCGATCCGTCTGGCAGCTGACAGTCGGGATTCGCGCCTGCTTCGATCAACGCTCTCACCACCTTGGAGTTTTCATGGTGTGTAGCCCGATGAAGCGGTGCGGAGCCTTCACCAGGTATGATGGCGTCGAGGTCGGCACCAGCCTTGGCCAATAATTTGACAATGGCGTCGTCTTCTTCTCGGGCACAACAAAAGTGCAGAGCAGTGAAGCCTCGTTTATCCGCTATTGACACGTTGGCCCCCTTCTTGATCAGCATCTTCGCAATACGCGAATGACCGTTGTGAACGGCCATCATGAGTGGAGTGGCGCCGTACGAATTACGTTGATCGATTTCAACAGTTCCCCCCGCCAGGACAGCTTGAGTAAGCTCTGCAGAACCAACAAGAACAGCACGGTGTAGTTGATTTAACTCATGCGGGTTAGCGACCGGGTCCATTTTTCTCTGCCTCCACTGTTGCTGAGTTTCTGACTTCGAACGACACTGCACACACCACCACCACCACCACCACCACCACCAGCACGCTTTGCAGACAGCAGAAGAGCTGTCTGATCTAGCCTCTAGACGCGGCTGGCGGCACCGCCAGTTGGTTCTTGTGTGACGGGCATATGTACATGCCTCTGAAAGCGAAACTCGCTCGCGCACCCCCCCCCCAGCAGGCCGTCTTGCAAGCCCGTGTGATGTTTGGCCAGACGCCATAGAGAGTACACCTTGGAACACAGGCATCAAGGCGCTCGCAAGAGGGTACTACCTTCGTGCACGTGTGGAGTGGGTCGAGTATAAGGATCCTGCGGTGGAGCAGAGAGAAGGGAGGTACAGCAGTATAGTATTTCTCACAGGAAGCATCGGCAGAGAGGGCTTCAGCAATAGATAGAGCAGCAGGAGGTCTCACAAGATGGCCGGGGCACAGGAAGGGGATGCCGAGGAGGAGACCATCAACCGAAGCAGAGGCGCCTCCACCAGCCACGGGATGTTCTCACGCCTGAACCTGACGGTGGAGTGCCCCACGGAGTTCGGGCAGACGGTGCACGTGTCGGGGTCTTCGTTTCTAGCGGGAGTGAGCAACCCGTCCCTGGTGAGTTCCTGTCTTTTTGAGAGGAGAGACAGCTTGGTCTTGTTGAACCAACCAGCAGTCGTGTCTTCGCACTTGGACCTGAGTGGCGAGGCTATCTCTCCTTTTTGGCTGCTGTAGGCGGTATGTCCCGAACGCCCAAGTTTATTAGGCTCGTGCTTTTCGTGCGGGAACGATAAGCGAGTGTTGTTGAGTTTCCGAACAAGAGATTCCAGTTGTGTCCTGCAACGGGTGACCAGCAGGAGCGCTACAAGGTACGCTCGCCGTTGCGCAAAACGCGCTGAGCGCTGTCCTCTGCTTTCACCACAGCTGTCCTACGCATAAGATGTACGTCGCTCCACAGGCACAATCCCCTGGGCATCGAGATCTTTAGCAGTAGACACACGTGTAGTACTGCAATGCCAACATTACACGCCGCTTTCACGAAGCCTGCAAATATGAGACAGCAGTTTGTGTCCCGCGCGCCTATGTCGGCGATTGAGCACGGAGCCTGTTCGAACGCCACCGCACACGGGGAGTGTAGGTGTGCTTACAGCATCAGCGTAGCCTTGTTGGCATGTTGTGGAAGGCTCGGAACAAGCACGGGCTAAACGAAAGTTTCTTTGTTTGCTTGCGTGCTGTAAGAAGAGGTTGTGCGGCGTCGTGCAATGCTGTCTGTAAGTTGAAGCTGCTTTTTGTTCTGAGAGCGGGTCGATGAGCAGAGACGGCTGCAGGAGTGCGCGAACGGCTTCGCAATGAACGAGAGTCCAGTGGTCGGGGTATGATTGCCAAGCACTGGTGACAAATGAACATGATGCAACCCCAATGTCAATGTTGTACCGGCTCGCCTGAACTGCTGGTGCTTTTATCAGACGCTTGTCAGAAAATCTACGAAATACTTCATGCCAAGCCGAAGGGGATGCGCTTGACTCTTTTCAGTATAATAGTGATTGCGAAGAAAACTAGACCGGCTGGATACGGGCGTACTTGGTCTGAACACGTGTCACTAGCAAGAACAGCGGTGTTTGGGCGCTTTTGCTTGCGATGTGAGTCTTGGTGTGTTGCAAGTGACCGCTGGTCCATACTTTCCGCTTGTTTCCCCAACTTTTCGTGAAGTTTCCGTGTCGAGAAAAAGTATGTGCGTCTAGCTTAACGAGTCGCGGGCCGTGAACGGTCCATTCTGCTTGCGTGTTCCACTCTTGTTCCGCGAATGCTTTTGCCAACTTTCGTTTCCCGTCCTCCCCTCCATCGTGCTGTTACCGTGTCGTCCCCAAGGTCGTCTTGTCGTGTGGCTAATTTTGCGCGTGCCCCCGCTGTTCCAATTTGCTGTGGTATTTTGGTGCTTTGTTGCAGTTGGTGGAAATGGTAACCACGCCGGAGGAGTACCCGCTGTGGCGCACCCCTCAGCCAATCATCGTGCAGCGCAACCAGCCGCACAAGTACATCTACAGCCTTTTCGAAGGTGCGGTCATGTGTAATACGGCCAACAGGAACACGGCGCGTGTTCGAACCTGAGGTTCTTCATTGTTGGTCAGGATTCTTGTGTGGTTATGGAGAGGTACGATGTGCGAACGCCTTCGCTTTTTCGTGGGTACTACTGGAGCGACCGAAAGACAGCTCAACCCTTGTCAGGTTTTTAGTTGTTGAGAGACGCGCACCGCCGAAAAAATATTTTGTGTATGGCGCCGGATCGTATCTCTAGGAAAGAGAAACGAGAGGCAAGGCCGTAGTGTGAGTAGAACCCTTGCGAGGACGGGAAAAAAATGCTTGAAGTACATGAATTTAGAACTTGTCGATGGCGCCACCGTATGAAGTCCTTTTGTTGTGCAACAGGCTCAGATTCCTTTGGCCTCTTTTTTTGGGATACGATAGCAGTAATCTGGAGTGCTGCGGTAAAGGTTTTCGAGGTTGGGGGTGCTCCATCGGGCATCACAAGGGCTCTCTCGCAGGCGTTCACGTCAAAACAACACACTCGTTGTTTCCCACGGGCCTAGCCCCTTTGTGTCGTACGGTTTCGTCCGTGCAGGAGCACAAAGATGCACCATCCTTTGTCTGCATTGCAGCTGTCCCGGGGAGGCTACTCTTACACATGGCAGACACACCTTCCCCTTCCTAAGGCAGGAAAATGTAATCACCCCCTTTGCCATGCCTTCACATTCAGGCGGCAAGTTTAAGAAGTGGGAAGAGTCGTCCGCCCGGGTGATCAAGTGCGATGAGCCCTCAGTGCACCAGAGGGATGAGTTCGTCGGGCACGAGACGGACATCTCGGACTACGTCAACCCGGACAGGCAGCATTCCGGCCTCAACACCAACCCGAAGCCCAGCTGTGAGTGCACCTGACCAAACTCTCGTTACTCTGGTGGTATATTGCACCTTGACTTGACCACCACAGCGGTGAGTGCACTACACGCTCTCTCTCTCGGCCTTCCCTTCCCAGTTTTGATGGGGTCCTCTCAGCGCATTCCGTGCATGTGCTCGACGATTGTGATTCGGGCATGATTTTATCGTATGTGTGAGTTCAGATTTGTGGTTTATCAGGCGGGCACCAAGTAGTTTTGTTCAGAAAGGTAGCGGCCTGGCATCGTTGTACAGACGTGGTACTGCTATCATGCCGGTATGTGCCAACCCCTTGAACTGGCATTAGCGGGCAACCGGCATTATTCAGAGTATGAAACACCTTGAATATTCCATCTGTGTCACACCACTTCACCGACATTTTATTGGGCAACCGGCATTACACCCGACCACCTACGGTGTTGCAGGACCACCTTGGATTCTTCGCTTATTTTCTTCGAGCAGAGGCTGCCCAATTTGCCAACCACGAGATCAAAGATTCAATTCAATAGCCTCGACTTTAGGGATCGGAATGCCTTGACCCCTGGGTAAAATCTACCACCATGTCTTCAGCGTTACTTGAAGCTGTGTGCCGTTTTTGTGCCTTCGCAGCAGCAGTGCGGAGTGTGACTCTAACATAGTGCTGTGGTGTTTGTCTTCTTCGCGTCTCATCGTTTTGCAACAACCGTCTATTATCCTTCAGCTAGCACATCGTTGCCGCGAGAAAACGTGGAGCCTCCCCCGGACTCGGTGCTGTACCTGGTGTGCTTCCACCTGCCGCTGACTCTGAAGAAGGACTGGAAAGGAACCTGGCAGGCCGAGTGGAACGAGAGCCTCATTGCCAAGACAGAGGATAGGTAAGAAACCAGAGCCGAGACAGAGAATTGGCAAGAAACAAGAGCATAATTATATCATTTTGACGAGACAGAGGATAGGTAAGGAAGGAGAGCATCTCGTTGCCAAGCCACAGGATAGGTAAAGCAGCGAGAGCCTCATTTTGCCGAGACAGACGATAGGTAAGAATCGACAGCCCGAGACAGAGGATGGGTAAGAAACGAGAGCCGAGGCAGAGGATTGGTCGGGATGTCGACGATTAGCGATCTGTCCGCGTGTTCCTTTCGGAACGAACGCCACCGATGTTGGAAAAAAAACTCACGCGACCGATCTGAACTGCTGTACCGTAATTTGTGTACTGCTGTACCGTAATTTTTTTTGTTCTTGTCTTTCTTTTTCGCAGCGTGTCGACCCGCATCCCGACGCACTGGGTGGGCACGGTGGCTAGCAATGACGGGAAGGAGTTCACCGAGGCAGACGAGAAGGCCATCACACAGGTAAACAAAACAAAAAATCACCACACAAGTAACACAAAAAATGATCCTACTCACCGCATGTACTCCGCTTCGACGGCCGCGGTAGCATCTCAAACGGCTGTGATTATATATTTTTCTAGCGACAGAGAGGGGCTACACTGCATGCTTTGTTGGGCTTTGTAGTTGTTGGGGAGGGTTGGGGAGGGTGACACATCTGTCAGTAGACTCACGGTCACTGGAGAGGCAGCAATGTTGCCTTGCGGGACAAACCAAGGGCGTTCGTAAGTTGGAGAGTTGGATGTGGTGGGGGGGGGTCTGGTCGTGCACGGTTTGCACCCGCTCCAGAAATAGCGAGATTCCTTGCATCGTGGTGGGGTATTGGTTTTTGAGTGTGCTGCTGGATCCGGGCGGGAGATACCACATGTCATTGCGCTTGTCTTGGACGAAGGAGGACAGGAAAAGGCGATGAAAACCCAGGCGCAACAGCGAAGCAGAGCAGGCGTTCTTGGTTGGCCTGTTTTTGGCAGGAATGCTGTCGACAGACAGACCGGTAGAAGCAGCGATGTCTCCACCGGTCTTGTTTGTACGCTCGGTTGATTGGCTGTTCATGTCTTGCGAGTGGTGTTTTTTTTTTCTGGGATTGGATCAGGGGCCGGGAAGCTCGGTGTGGTTTCGTGGTGCCATTAGTTGCACTGTGTGGTCATCCCATCTCTCTGCGCGAGACTACATGTACTTTGGTCCCTTCAAACGCTTGGGGAAAAGCGAAACGGTACTGCAACCATATTGCCCCGCTTGGTCTCAAGAGGCTTCGCGTTTGACTTTTTCACGTACGAGGAAAAGGTGTCGAAAGCCTCTGTCCTACATACCCAATGCTGGCATGACATCGCTGAAAATTTATACTGCCGTGCCCTCCGGCGGTGCGACCGTGTAACAGGTTCTGCGGCCCATGAATTGCACTCCGATCTTCGTGCCGCTGTCCATCATCCGGGGAAGCTACCTCGGCTACTGCAAGCAGATCCTGTGGCCGGCATTCCACAATGTGAGAAAAGAGAGCCCTCAGCCAAACCCTGACAGACTAGCCCGCGACAGGAGTTCATCCGTCCTTCCGCAGGTCGCACACGTGTGTGGAATATTGGTGGTTCTGCACGCTGGTCATAAAAATGTCGACGTTAGCAAAGACCTTCTTCAGTTGTGACGGAGTACGCGAAAAACATTCGTGCCAATTGTCTCCCACACTTGTCCCCTAGGCTCCTACAGCCGTGTAGGCGTTTTCACCGAACTTGTGATGGGCGTTGTGTTTTCCGGTTCTATGTCATGAGCCGTCATTTTGGCGGTCGACCCTTTTCGACGTTCCAGCGCAGGGGTATGCTCCCCCCAAAATCTCCACGTGCCCACGCTGTCGTCAACATCATCCGATGGCGTCGATCGCGCGATGTTCCGCACACAGGTTGATGTGCTGGACCTAGCGAGCTGCAGGTGGAACCCCCACAGCACGGACCCCACGCTCACCTGGGACCAGCAGAACACGGTCGAGTGGTGGGAGGCGTTCAAGACCCTCAACACCACGTTTGCCGACCACATGATGAGGATGCTGGGGTGAGTTTTTCTCTTGCTTCTTGCTTGCCGTGGATGATGGTGTTGGCGGAGATGATGGTGTGGACTTGGGGGGATACCCTCTGATGGCTATCGTGTTCTTCGTGAGTTGGTTTGGGTTTCTTTAGCTTTCTCTATCGCAACGCACCAGACAACACTAGACTTGCAGACCAAGCTCTCCGAGCGAAATAATTGGTTCCTAGATGCCACCACATGCAGCACATGACGGAGATTGAGCGACATGGTGATGGGTGATGAACGTTGACCCAGGCAAAGCAATTGAAAGTGAAAATGGGGTATTTGTTTCTATTTCCGAGGGACGGGAAACGTCATTCTGTGTAAACACTGGGCAGCCACCTTGCTTCTCTTGCCTCGTGTCCTGCCCCATGGTGACCTTGATCCCTCTCTCACTTCCGATGCGCCTGTCGGCCCTGTCGGCCCTTACCCTCTGCCCTCTTACTGCTGTACCATTTTTTGTGAGTGTGTTGTTCGTCTCTCCATGCGCCCATTGGCGAGCACTCTGTCGCCTTAGCGCTGCCCTTCCTTGCGTGTATTGTTCGTCACTCGATGCTCCTGTTGGCTCACTGTCGTCTCACTGTTGTACCTTTTTTTCTGTGTGTTCGGCTCTCCATGCGCCTGTTGGCGTACACTTTGTGGTCTCACTGCTGTTGTACCTTTTTGTGTGTGTGTGTGTTTTTTACGTGTTTGGCACGACAGAGAGAGGGGGCACCGCAACAACGTGATGTGGGTACACGACTACCACCTCATGCTACTGCCCAAGCTGCTCAGCGACCGGGAGAAGGATGCTACTCAGCACAGGCAGACCAGCATCATCTTCTTCCTGCACATTCCCTTCCCCACCAGCCAGATCTTCAGGTGTGACTTGTAGTATCGTACAGAACGCGCCAGCCACCGCTTCAGAAGAAGTTGAGCCTCAAAATTTCTAAGAGCTTGGCCAAAAGACCAAAAGCTTGGCCATAAGACCAAGAGCTTGGCCATAAGACCAAGAGCTTGGCCATAAGACCAAGAGCTTGGACATAAGACCAAGCGCTCAGTCATGAATCCTACACTAATATAGCCGCGCGGGTACCCTTTACACGGAACATGTAACGACCCTCGACCAAAAGAGGGTCTCATGTGGTGGTGCGTGCTGTACATGCTACGTAGTGCGACCGTGGACATTGGCCTAACCGTTGCGAAAGTTTCCGAGCGGGGAACTCGCAGTTCTCTCTCTAAGCCGTGTCATTGGGTTTAGGTCTCATGTCTCGTGCTTGAATTTTTTTTGTTCCTTGGTGTTGGAGCGGCTTCACTAAACCTAAAGCATCACTAATGCAATTTGTCCCAATAATTTTTCTGACCAGCCGCGAGATTACTCCTCTTCGTACGGTACCACGTTCGTCAGGCACGTGGGTCACTTCGAACTCTTTCTACAATACCTCTGATCAACCTGACGCCAGCACGCGCTTCTGGTCATTTTTTTTTTCGTGTGAACTATTCTATTCCCTGGCAGGGCGCTCGCACATGGGGAAGAGCTGCTGCAGGGCGTACTGTCCGCCGACATCGTGGGCTTCCACGCCTTCGACCATGCCAGGTTCGAACAATGGAGATTGATCGTACGTAGTCGTGGTGATTCTCTCGTGCTACAAAGTCGAATACACGGTTTGCTTTCGAAAAATTTTGGCTGTTGTTGCTGGACACAAGAACTGGCCATATGGTTCCCCCCCCGGGCGTGTACGCCAGATCCCTCTTGAGTACAGTGCCTTCCGTTCGTGGCGACATAGTGGAGCAGGAAGAATGAATGATATTGCGGCACTCCGCTGTCGGTTGCGTTTGACGTCCGATCGACTATGGGATCAGTTCGGTTGTTGATTGGGTAAAGCCGGGGCGGAGAGTCGGTGCAATTTCTCGGAGAGGAATTTGACCAACAATACCGGTGTCTATTACTACTACACCGTTTGTGGGCTTGGTGCTCATTCTCAAAAGTGTTGTTATTTCGAGGAGGGAGGCGTAAGCTATGGGTGGTCATGTCCGAGGCACATTTTTCACCTCCAGCGGTACGCGGTACAAGAATCGTGGATCGGTGGAATGATGACTGCTACTGCTACTGCGTGCCTGGCGTTACCCGCTCTCTTTTTCACCCTTAACCCTCCACCGAACGTTTCATCCAGGCACTTCCTCAATGCCGGCAAGCGGTTGCTAGGACTGAGCTACCAGAGCATCAAGGGAGGGCTGATTGGGGTGGAGTACGACCGCCGCACGGTAAGAGAAGGAACAACACAACAAGGGCAACAAATGAAGTTTTCCTGGGCTGTTCGTCTTTTGAGATTGGAGGTGTAGATAGGAAGGCACCGAGAAAGAAGACGAAACCCTTGGCTGGTGTTCCTCGTCTGCCTTGCACGGAACGTGCTTTGTCTGGTGCCATTTTTTGTCAAACAATGGGGAAAAAAAATGTTTTCGTGGTGTCTCGGCATCCATCTTTGTTGCAGTTTGTTTTTCCCGTTTTTTTTTGCCCGGTTTGTTTGGTTGTCACTGAGGTATGAGACGACCCCGCTGCATTGACAGGAGGTGCAGTGAACAGGACTTGTCGCTTTGGTGTGCTTGGTTATTTTAATCGGACGGGGGAATACGCGACCGTCGCACGGCAAGACGAAAAACAATAACATGCTACATGCTACATGCTATGCCCATATTGGTATAGATGACGAGTCGAGTTGGACGTTTGTCCACAGGTGATGGTGGTGATGAGCCACGTGGGTATCGAGCCGAAGCTGCTGAAGAGACACATCGCCCGGAAGGATACGGAGCAGGCGGTCAAGGTCATCCAGAAGAAGCACGGCAACAGGTGTGCAAACATCCACCGCCGATACACCCCTGAATGAAAATAGAGGAGGGTATCTACCACGTGGGATAGTCATGGTGGAGATGTTGCTACAAAAATGCCGTCGCAAGCTGTGGGAAGGTCGGACGCGGGGTTCCCAAATGAAATGCAAAGAGATGTGGCTCTCGACTATTATCGGGGTTCTGTGCTAGGTTCAAGATTCTTGTCTCTTGCATTCTTGATAGATCTCCGATGGATCTCTTCGAGGGATGGACTGGAGAGATGATGGATGAAGAAACGTGTAGTTGATTTAGCTGCTCTCGCTTGCTACTGCATTCATCACAGGCGGGCCAACACCTCTGCTGCTGCTTTGCCTATCCCGCGCACACACATGCTATCCTCAACCGGTGGTTGGATCTCTGCCAACGAACTGATATTCGGACATCTAAGCTTGCCTCTACCGGAGGTAGCTTTTCTCTCTCCCGAACTAGCGTGGACTCGAAACGGCCGATTCACGAAACCGTCATCTGGGGAAGAGCCAATTGCGCCGCCGACAGACGGCAAGACACGTGAAAGCGGGGACAAAAGTGTAACAACCCCTGAAACGAGCCTATTTCGTACCACAATCGTTCGCGGTATCTTCCGTGACAGACGTCTCCCTTGGCATATTCCGTCATGTCTCCCTCGTTTTCTTCCGCGTGATCCCCAATGGTGTTTTCGTGAAATGTTTCGAGGTAGAATCCGTGGTAGAATCCGTGGTATGCCTTAGACGGTTGGCAGCCAAAGAGCTTGCTTGGTTTGATGGACCCAACATCGCCATGTGTTGTTAATGCCGAAGTCGTATGCATACATGTGCGTTTCACGGCAACGGGGGTGGGGAATTCCAGTCAAACCAAGGTTACAGCAGACGACCCCCGCCGCCGCCGCCACCACTAACACCACCGGTAAACGTTTGCTACGCCCCGCCCCGCTCTCTGCCTATAGGGTAATCATGGCCGGCGTGGACGTGTGCCAAAAACTGAGCGGAGTGACCCTCAAGCTACTGGCCTTCGAAAGGCTGCTGACGGAATACCCCAACCACAGGGATGAGGTGGGGTAAAATATATAGCTAGCTGCTACCCTCGTTTGCCATAGTCATAGTCGTCTTCGTCAGTGTTGTGCTGCTCTTTGGTACAGTACCTGCCTAGAAGACCCTTGTGACCTCCATCTAGTATACCCAAAGCAGAAGACTGCCGTCCATGCTTTGGGAAACGATGGTTCCTCCACAAGTTGTTCGGTCTATGCAGATCGGTCAAACCGTCATGGCTTTGAGTTTGTTTATTTTGTTGTTGACCATCCCATCCGCACACGCTGGCAAACCCGCAGCAGGCTACATGCGATGACTGGGCATCGAATTCTTGCATGACTTCATCTTGCATATAGCTTAGAAACCGTGAAAAGAAGCGTGTACTAGCAAACCTAGCGGTAACCCTATCCGTGTTTCCTTAACCCTTCCTCGACGGGGCACATTAGTAGTAGTTGACCATTCAAGTGCCTAGGAGGAGTGTCTTGCCGATGACACGATGACACCTCCCCCCCCCCGGTATTTTGATCGATCGTTGTTGTTTGTTTGGACAGGTGGTGCTGGTGCAGCGGTGTCTTCGACCTTCCAGCCGCGTGGAGGACGAGGAGCACACGTCGGCGGAGATCAAGCAGCTCGTTGCTCGCATCCAGCAGTAAGTCGAACTTCGATGTATCTCTCCGCACACAAGGTTGTATTCTTTCTGTGTGGCCGCCTTCTCTCGTGGCCATGTGCGCCGCCGAACAATCAATGTACACATGGGTTGCATCAGCCGGGTTGACACGGGAGAGAGGCCACGTTTTTTTTTTTTTCCACGTAGTCTTTAGCCTGCCATTCTCCATCTGATTATTTTTTTCTGTACAGCTCTCTGCTGCAATAACGGAGAGAGTTTTTTTTTCTTGAGATAGTACCATGACGTGGTTGTGTTACATGCGGAGAAGGGTTAGACTTTGCAAATCGTTCTCTGTTCTCACGAATAGAGTGAAGGGCACTTCCGCATACCGCAAGGGCTCTTGTTTCCTCGGTTCGTAGATTCCACCCTGTAAGGATGGTCGGTGCAGTATCGGGAAATGACGGTAGCAGGTGGTGTCCGCAACGGCTCTTGAGAGCGTACGCAGTAGGGGACGGTGGGCGACTCGGTTCGACAAATGTGGCGCCCAAATCTTGTCATAGTCGGTTCCAGATCGGAGATCTTGATCGGAGATCTTGATCGGAGATCTTGATCGGAGATCTTGATCGGAGATCGTGATCGGAGATCTTGCGTAGAGAGCGCAGATGGGGCAGAAAGTGAATGCATCGGCACCGTCAGCTCTGCGAAGGTAGGTACGTAAGTAGGTTAGGATGAGATGCTGCCTTCGGCTAAGGGTGCCGTGGCCTGTTGAGCTTAAGGCGATCAGTTGGTGCGCGATCGACATGATTCGTGTCAGCGATATAGTAGCAAAACATCTTGTGCTTTAGGGTTTTGCTCCACCAATCTACTATGTGGCCTGCATCAATCGAGGAAAAGCTTGCCTACTGCTGTAGCTTCATTGACTATCTCTCCAGAACCCTCTTGCCACATTTGCTTCGATGGGAGTATTCCGCCTGACGCATTTTGTGTGTGTTTTCTGCCTTTTTCTAGGCGATGCGGCCAAGGCGATATCGATTGATGGGAATATCGCGTGTGGTATCCTCTGTATGCTTTTATTTTACCCTCCTCATCTAGGCGAAGGCGTTGTCATTTGATCGGAGTGCCTCGTGACGTATTTTCTGTGTGCTTTCGCCCTTTTTTAGGCAATTCGGCGAAGGTGTTATTGATTACACCGAGGTCGTCGGGAATGATCTCTCGGCGCCAGAGAGGCTGGCGCTGTTTAAGTGCGCAAGAGTCTTGGTTCTCACTGCGGTTCGCGAGGTGAGGCCTTGGTTGCTGCTTGGTCTACCACTGCCGCCGTAGTTGGCGTTGTTAGTGCTGCTGTTGACTGCTGCTGCTGCGTAGGCTGCTGCCGGTTATGCTGCTCGTGTTGATTGCTGCTGCTGCTACTTCTACTGCTGCTGCTACTGCTGCTGCCCGTATTGATTGCCGCTGCTGCTGCTGCTACTGCTGCTGCTGCTGCTGCTGCTGCTGCTGCTGCTGCTGCTGCTGCTGCTGCTGCTGCTGCTGCTGTCGTGTGTGCTGAGGCTGTGAATGTTCATGCAGTTGTCCTCGTCGTTTCTTGGATCGTTCTTGCCTTTTGGTGTGAGGTGTTTTGTTTGTTGCAGCCTCTTAACGATAACAACCACCTTGTAGGGCTCGGCCCACCGTGTGTTGTATATGGTAGTGTAAGGGTAAATTCTTCGTCCTTCTATCGTTCTGCAAGACTCGCAGCGTGAGCAGAGGAGCCGCGACCTTTGTCATTTTCCTCATCCTCCCCTATCCCATTGCTGCGATCGATTGCTGTGGAAAATTCTCCTCGTCTGTCGAGACCCCCGTGCTCATGTGTGTCTGAAGTTCCCATGTGTTCATGCATCACCTGGAGACCACGGGAAATGAATGTCGTTATCTCGGAGCTTTGTTTTCCCCCCGACTTAGTCCTCTCTCGATTTCCTCGCTTTTTTTTCAGGGTCTCAACCTGATCCCTCTGGAGTACATCTTCGCGAGGGGCGAGCCCGAATCGGCGGGCGTGGTGCTAGCCTCCGAGTTCTCGGCTTGCTCTAGCCTCCTCAACGGCGCCATGCGGATCAACCCCTTCGATGTCGCCAAGACAGCCGGGGCGTTCGCACAGGCCCTTACCATGAGCGAGGCGGAGAGGTTGGTTTCATTTTTGTTCTTTTTTTTTTCGGCGGATTGGCTGATGTGTCGTTCTTTGGTTGTTGGGCGCATGATGGGATGAATGGTTGCTGTTGCTTGTAGCTGGGCGCATGATGGGCGGTTCGAGGTGCGGCATAGGACGTGGTTTTTCTGCAGTACGGGTGGGTTTCGGTTGTTTTGATATTTGTTGTAGTTGTTGCTGACGGATGTCTCAACTGTACAACAGGGGTAGCGAGCAATGCAGATTTTTTCTCGCACAGTGGATCGTGTCCACGAGTGCTGAGTTCCGGTGGCGTTGCTATTTGTCTCGCCGACACTCTCGACCACAGCTAATATATACCTGCTCTGAGATGTGTTTTTTTCGTATCATGCTGCCCCCCCCCCTTGTCTGTTCTTGTGCTTTGTTATTTTTAGGAGTGGGCGACGAGACCGTGACTTGCCGTACATCTCATCCAGGCCATCTGCTCTCTGGACGTACCAGGTGCTGTTGTTGCTGTGGTCAGTCATTGCCGTCATTGTTGGTTGCCGCCGTATTCTTTTTGACGCACTTTTAAGAGTCTTGAAGGGGACTCGAGGATTCCCATGAGAGTCCTTTGGACAAGCATCTGAGATGATGAGGCATGCTATCGAAACCGATAATGTTCGGCGACCAATCTGTTTATTGTTTCTGGGAGTGTTTTTGGGAGTGACGTCAACATCTACGAGCGCTGGAGGCAATCTATGGCAACTATTAATGAGACAAGTATCTTACAGTAGTACGGGACACTGCGACCAAATGCCGGGTCTTGATCTGCATGTGTTGTGTGTTGGTATGTGTGCGTGCTGGTATGTGTGCGTGTGCGGTTGATTTGCAGGCACTGCTGAATGATGAATGCTGAATGACAATAATTCCCTGTCTGTGTCTTTCCTGTTTTTGGGGTGTTTTTGTCGTTTGGTGTCAAGGCCCTGCTGGACATGTGGGCCATGAAAAACGAGGCTAGCGTCACGCACATCGAGGAGACTGCGGTAAGACGTCACAATAGCATCTTTCCACAGTGTTGTCCCGCAAACAGCGGTGGGAACCCCCTTCCTGCTCCTTTCACGGTACTGTTCTCACGGCACACGGTGCTGTCTTGACTTGAGATGCATTTTTTCACTCACAGGGCAGCACATCAACGCCAAAATGGGGATGATAGAGGTAAGGCGGGGAGGGGTGTACGTCTAAGAGGCGGCCATTGTTTCCCGACGTACGGCAGACGTGGATATCTGCGCGGAGTAAAAGTGTTGATGTTGATGTGGGAGGTTTGCGAGTGGGGCACTTCCCACGCGAGACGAGAATGAAGATGAAGATGAAGGGGGTGATGTGGTGTGAGACACAGTACCAAGGGAAGAAGCAGACGTAAAGAACGCCCTCCTCACTCCGTTTTTGCTAAAGAACTTCATGTTTCGACTACACGCGTTGTTCCCAGGGGGGGGGCGAGGAGAGCAATTAAGCATAGAATAAACCACCCTCCAAGTTTGGAAACCCATGTCATGTTTTAACTATTTACACCCGTTTTTTGGAGCGTTCTTAAATTGGCGTGACCCACTTGCACTCTTTGCACTTGTCCTCGGAAAATTCGGTTCCAGAGCTTGGCCAATGAGCTGACGCACGAGATGACGATGACGGACTTCACTCCCCTGGACGTGGACGACATGATGGCGGCGTACCGACACTCGAAGAGCAGGGTTATCCTACTCGACTACGGAGGCTCGCTCCTTGAAAAAGAGGTGCGTTGTTGTTGTTTTTGGTGGTGTTGCTCTCACTGCACCCGCTGCTGCTGCTGCTGCTGTTGTTGTTGTTGTTGTTGTTGTTGTTTTCTGTTCAGGCGTGTCGTTGATGCTATTACTGGTCTGTTAGGTCTTGTTATTGTCTGTTAAGGTTTTGTTGTTCCTGTCTGCTATGGTTTGCTGTTGTTCTTTTATTTTGTTATGATTTTTTTATTTTTTGTTTGTGAACGATGTTGTTGTGCATGGGCTGGGCAACCGTTCTCAAGATCAAACAAGAGACCCCCCTATTCCTTCGGCCTGCGATGTTGGCAGGGACTGGGCAAGTACCTGAAGAGGAACATGTCCAGCGCGTCGGGGCGCAAGCTGCCCCAGCCTACGTACGATGCTGTGGTGAAGCTCTGCGAGGACAAGGCCAACACCGTGTTCATCGTCTCCGGCCTTAACGACAAGGGGCTTATGAACGTGAGGGGACGAGGGCGAGGTTGAATGTTATGCGGATGTCTAGGGTTAGCGTTTCAAGTAACGCGGGTGCTACGTAAGTGTCGCGAAGGTGTGTGTTGGTGTTGAATTGAGGCGAACATCTTGTGTGTGGTTTTGGAATGTTGGCAGTGGAGTGCTTTGTAAGGAAATTCGTCATGGGATGCACGCCTGCATCGTTTGCTGCTGCTGACGTCACTGGGGCTGGTGCTTTTGTGAGATGAGTTTCCGACCATGTATATTGTCAATGCTAGCGGGTGGAGCTATTTTCGTCTGTGATGATATTTCTGCCTATCATATGTCGACGCTATGATGCATGACGATTGCGGACGCCGTTCACCTCCCGACCCCGGATACATGTGAATGCATGAGCCTGTATGACTCATCCAGAGGCAAAGTTGGGATTTCCCCGTATATGAAAATATATACAAATTCTCTTGTGGCTTCGACAAGTCACATTATTCCACTACGACAATGCATTATTTTTTCTTTCTTTTTTGTTCCTTAGTTTCATTTCACTCGGACACGCTCGTTTCACTGGGAAGCACTAGTTTTGATTACGTTCATATTCCCACGTTTTTTTTCAGCATGACACTTTCCACGTCATGCAGTCTATCGGGGGGGCGATGCACGTTAATCGGCTTTTTTTCACTACGGAGCACTGATCTCGTTCGTATGCCCACGGTTCAGTTCAGGATGACACGTTCGTTTCACTACAAAGCACTAAGTTTGATTTGGTTTTGTTCCACGGCGGTTTCACTCGTCATTGGCACGTTTGTTCCTCGTCGTGCAGGCCGTCGGGGACTTGATGTATTATTACAACATTGTGGGGCTCGGTGTCATTCGATCTCGTTCTTTTTTCTGCGGTTTCGTTTCATCTTGTCTACTTCCGTTTGGTTCAGGCTGTCGGGGCGGTGCCCGGGCTGGGTCTGGCGGCCAACAACGGCTTGGCCTTCTCGTGGCCCGTGGAGGTGGCCAGTGAACGCAGCTGGGAGGTACGCATACGCATGCATACGAAAGGGCGGAGTTCTGAAACGGGATGGCGTTCTTAGTGGGATCTTTTCGCGTTTTGCCTTGGAAAAGTAGTGCGCACTATGGCCCTCTTTAGCTTGTTGCGATGCACGGGTTGCATCTCTACCGCGAAGACCTGCGTTTTGTATTACGCAAGAATGCGGTTGAAGGAGTAACAAGAGATGGACCCAACCGCCAACCGAATCCTCAACCGAAACAGTCGAGTCGACCCAATCATTCTCCTCCTATTCCGACCTCTTCCGCCATCTTACCCCTGCCAGTAAATGTTATTTTTCTCCTGTTGGTCCCTCTTTACCCCACCACACTCCATTGCTCATTTTGCCTTGTTTTTGTTTCTTTTCTTTTTTTCGTTATTTTTCTTCGTACTACATTCCGTTGCTCATTTTGCCTTGTTTTTGTTTCCTTTTTTTTTATTGTTATTTTTCTTCGTCTGCCAGGTGTTCGACTACGGTGTCGACTGGGATGAAGTGAAAACGGCCGCGTTGCCTCTGCTGCAGAAGTTCACGGCACACACGAACGGGGCGAACATCAAGATGCGAGACTCTGGACTGGCCTGGAGCTACTACTCCACGGACCCCGAGTGGGGGCAGACTCAGGCCAAGCAGCTGCACGGGGAGTTGGAGGTGAGTGAAGGCAACAGGCTTTTTTTTTGTGTGTGAATTTCCCGCGCGCGATTCGTTTGGAATCAGACAAGAGGTACAATTGTACGTAGCTTGTGTGGGAGAGAAGCGGGTGGTCGGCTTCTTTCTTGGCGTATTGGTCCTGAGACCGACGTTAAAATGTGCTACCTCGCCGACCTGTGAACCTAAATTTTCTTTAATCGTCGCAGGATTCGCAGCCAGCTGCTTGCGGGAAGGTTGGAGGTAATGCATGCGTGAACTGCTCGCTCTTCCGATATCTGCTTGATTTTCACATTGCCCCTTGTGTACTGCCAGGCTGCGGCCGTTGTTATCGTTAGTAGTGATAAGCCAACCTTGCCGCCATCTTCATTTTTACTATTCATTAATTGGCTTATCTATGGCGACTTCGATGGATTATGTGTCTGCACCAAACTGCTCCTCAGCTGTCTTGTTTTGCACGACCGTTCTGTTCCTGGTTTTTCGTTATTTTTGGTTGTCGGCAGGTGGCGCTGTCGGCGTACGACGTAAAGGTGCAGCACCTTAGGGGTTCGCTCGAGGTGAGAAACGAAAAGTGTTCAACTTTGCTTTTTTCGTGTAAACAGCTCCCGTCTCTTGGTCTGGACACAACGAGGACAACATGATCGGCTGGACAAACCCAACGTCCCGCTTACTGCGCCCCAAGATTCCGCGACTGCATTAGATGTTGGATCTGACGCATTTTGGCATGCACTTGATGCCACACCCCGCCACCAACACCCGCCATGCCCACGCCCAGCCGCAGTCTATCGACACGAGGTCGGTTCATTCATAGCGTAGCCAAAGTAACTTTACCCATGAAGCTCTGCCTCCCAGTATCAAACAATGCACCGTCTGCACTTCGAAGCAGCCTTGAGCACCATGCCACAATTTCGGCTCATTTAACCCGTCTTTTTCTTTTTGCACAGGTGGTGCCGAAGCGCTTGCACAAGGGCGTGGTCGTGAGCACCATCCTCAGGACACAGAAGGAGAGGCGCGGCTGCAACCCGGACTTCGTGTTCTGCGTGGGGGACGACGCCAGCGACGAGCAGATGTTCTCGGCGGTGTACTCCTTCTTGGCGCAGGCGGGAGACCAGACGGGGTGCGTACGGTATGCGTCGAGCCACCGTCGAGAGAGAACGACAGTTAACCTTAACCCGAACCCTACGATGTTGAGGACTACGACAAGATGTTCAGGACTAAGATGAGATGTTGAGAGGACTATGATGGGATGTTGAAGACCGATAACGGATAGACCGTTTTAGACGGGCGCCGAAAGTGCGGGTGACGATAAGCATATTGAGGACTAAGGTGTCGAGGTCTGACGAGACCGTGGAATAGTCGAGCTTTGGAAATCAGTCCAGGGGCTGTGGTATCTTGCGTCACCTACGATAGCTCATTTCGGATGAACGCCGAAAACGCGAGTGACGGAAAACGTCCCCACAAAGACTTGACCCAAGGGGTCACTGCTGGAATGCAGCGCTAAGAGGTTGTTGCCAATATGCTGTCTACCGTCCCAGAGCAAGAAAGGATCCTTCATGTTCTGCGTACACTTCGTTGTCAATGGCGGGTTACCCCACATGTCGTGTTGTGTGCTACGTATGTGGTAGTAGGGTGGAGATGGTCGGAGTGTTGGAATATTCTCTGTTGGAAGAGAGAGGATCACAGGTTACGGTGCCCCGTCCCGTAACAGCAGTGGTGATCAATGTTGTAGTTGTTGCTGTGTTCACATTGAAAACCGCTTTCCGATCTCTCTTCGCAGTACCTCCATCTGTCCGTACTGATCAATCGTAGACGATTAACAATCAGTCAATAATAATGTTGGAACCGCCTGTGCCCGCCCATGGCTTGTTATTCCAGGTCGAACGACGAGATGACACAGGCCGAGATGGACAACATCCGCCTCTACACGTGCATGGTGGGGAAGAAGCCCACCCACGCAAACTTCTACGTCAACGACCCCTCCGAGGTGGCTCAGACGCTGTCGAGAATGGCGGGCACGGACAAGAAGGACCCCGCTGATGCTGCCGCCGCTGCCGCCGAGCGACAGCAGGGCCGCGGCGGGGTGGACGGGGTGGGGAGCTCGTCGAAGGGGGGCGCGCGATTGGAGTCGTTCCTCGCGCGTTCGTTAATGTAGCCCGGGTGGTGATTGGGTGTGCATAGCAGGGGAGATCCATGGCCTGAATGGTGTACGGCAATGGCGAGGATGAAGACCAGGTGCTGTGCAGCTGTGCAGGGCGATGATATGGTTGCGAAGGGCACCCGCCACCGGGACTCAACAACTGACTGGCTGACGGGGGTTTCGGTTGCGCTCCCATGGTGCAGATGTCGGCCATTTGTGGGGTTTGATGTTTTTCGGAACGTTCTTACTCAAGAGAGCTACGGTCCCGCTGGCGGTTTGGTCGCTCATATATGTAATGGCACGTCACATGCATGTAGGATATATGGGCATTTTGGTTGCGTGTTGGTTTGGACCCCCTTCCAGCAACGTGTAGCCGTCGCACCATGTGCCCTTCCGTTGGGTTCATTTCTCCAGGAGGCGTGTTTTGGCCCCTTTTGATTGTGACACTGGCCAAGGGCCGCAACAATGCCTTGCTGAAAAGCGTCGACATTGGGTAGAGGTCCCGCTTTTGTTCGATCGCCACCACTATGTGTTGACCACGTGTGCCTGATGCATGGTTACTGAGATACCCACGGAAATCTTTTGTGAATTGTTGTAGAATTTCAGGCATACTGTAGTCGTAGATGGGAGAGGTCGGCAGCATGTGTACTGGTAGGGACGGGCGGGGTGTGGGGAGTCGAGTTTGCCGTTGGACGGAAGAGTGGAAAAGGACGGTATGGTGTGTGGGTGGGTGCGTCCTGTAGGTTCGAAAAGTCAAGTGCTCTCGCGCAACGCCTTGGTTTGTAATCTACCCCCTCTGTTGTCGTTCCTTTTTGTTTTTTATTTTTTGGTGTCCCGTGGTCTCTCCTTTCTTTCGATCGGGTGCAAAGGTTCGTCCTTATCACAAACTTCATTTCGGGCGGGGTGGGCCTTTCAGCTAGGAGAAACATAACCAGTAGTAGTGGTAGAAGCAGAAGCAGCAGCAGCAGCAGCAGCCGGAATATTTTTCGCTTATCTGACAAGGTGGGATTCCGCGAGAGATGGCTCTGTAACCTGCAACTGGCAAGGTAAACACGCGTTCGTGTTCGCCGTTGACTGTTTGGTGTAGTACATGTCGTAGTTCACGGTAAAGGTTCCATGTAACTTTGTAACTGGACTTGTTCCTTTCTGTTAATTCGCTATCCAATTGTGTTTGTTGGGTTTGGCTTGGAAAGACCGAAGATCGCGTTCTAAAATCGTGGCTTGTTTGCCACCATTAACTACCGCAGGAGCTCCAGAGTATGGATCTCAATTTTCTGCGAAGCAGGAGACATTGCAATCCGTGATGGTGATTCGGTATTGTCAGCGGCGTGTAGGTCAGTCAAAGGGTGATGAATTGCTCCCGCCGGCTACCGCGTGTGCAACTCTCGGTACGTTTGCTGGCCCCCGCTTCTTCTAGTGGTCACTGTCATTGCAGATGGTTGATTTGGCCAGAGGGACATGGACAAGAGCACAAGCTTTTTTTTGTCGCGGTATACTGCATGGTAGCGCTGCTAAATCTCGATTTGTGAGGCGATCCACGAAAAAGACGAACATGCTTTGCTGCGCATCTTGCACTTGCTGCCCGCGACCTCTACAAGTACCAGAAAGCGGCAAGTGTGTGTGCCTTGGGCAGGAGGCGGGGTCGTTCTACGGCTTTGTTATAGACCACCAGCGGTTCTGCGTGAAGGTTGTGTCGATGGGCGGGTCTTCTTGTTTGCTGGACGTATGTATATGAGAGTGCACTATTCAATATAGAGGAGTTATAGGGCTAGATGGTGATCCTTCGACGTCCTGCATAATGCCATGGTGTGTTTTTTCAGTAGTCTGCGAAACCTTGTTCGTTGTATGCTTTCAAGTGTTTCGGTGTACATGCAGTACAGAGCAGAGGCGTACTTGTGTACTCGTGGCAGCGGCCACGGTCGGTTGTTGCTGGTTGATTCTGTGCGCTCCACAGCGGATCAGCGTAGACGCAACTGTCTGCGTGTGTTTGGTCTGTGTCTCCGCCTTTTATCCTCCACCTCAATGTCACCCGAGCAAGGCAGAAAAACCTCCAGGTGAAATCGATGGCATGGGAGGTCACGTCGGGTACACTACAGGTATCTGTTTCCACTGATGATGGAGGGATTTAAATCTACTGCGGCCGCTGTTCATGTAGTTTCCGGCTTGCACGCTATAATACCTTGCACGCTCTCACCTTGCCGTGTCCAAAGCGGTCGCAAAATTGAAAGAGTTCAAGTGAAAACAAACAATCCCGACAAATGCGATCCACCCAGAGAGCGTCCCAACCACCAGCGAAAACATAAAGTGGGTGTATTTGTCTTGGAGACAAAAGCAGCGGGTGCATGCATACCATGTAGGAAGCAAGCCATGTCCTCATTGGCATAAAGCAGCCGGGTTACCCAAGGGCAGATACCTCGTTTCCCGTTCCCCCGCCTGTGTGTATGTTTATGGTCATGGGAATTCACGATTACCCTCGTTAGGAAGCCAACAACTCGAACCTCGAGGTGTTCTACCTGTACCATGCCCGACGTTGCTACAGGGAGACAGAAGGAGATGGGAAACAGACCAAACAGCAAACAGACTTGAAACAGACGAATGGTGGGCGACATGCACAGCCCCCCCTCCTGAAATATCCAACTTATAGTTTTTGGAAACCCAGATTTCCGCCCACTCGAAGTTTGTTGGGCTTGCTAACGGAGCCAAGACGTTCAGCACAGCCCCTTCGAAGGAGACTCGGTGACGTGCCAGGATTGAGCCACACTCGCCCGCCCCCGGCGGAAAGACTGTTGGGCGCCATTCTCTCGTTTTTGAGTGCTGCAAGAGTTCCAAACATGGTAAGTGGTTGACGGAACAAGCGGTGCCGGGAGGGCGGACATGAGACGTGTACGCGCGTGCAGCACACATGCTTGACGCCGTGTGTGTTAGTGCTGTTCCTTTGCGTTGGAGGGAGGTACACCAGTCGCTTCGATTGGATCCTCGAGCGTGATGGAGTTTTCGTACTCTCGCATGCTCCTGTCGCACATATAAGTGGGATTGCTTGTGAGCGCGATCAACAATCAAGCACACACCAATTTTCAAAACACATTTGCTTGCGTCTACAGCAGTAACGCGCCGTCGATGCCACGCCCGCTGGACCGATACCAAAGGCTCGATTACGCTCGCGACGTAGAGGATTCCACTTTCAAACGAAACGTTTTCATTTGGTGGTCGACAAGACCAGTGCACCACTGCCGTTTTCGCGACAGATACTGATATTTGGCTCCATTTCGAGGCATAGGCAATGTACCGAGGTATATTACGCAAACGGAGTAGCGGTCGCCCGGCGCCATCCGCCTTTCGTCGACAGCACAACAACACAGCGGCGGCCGTCGATAACACACACGCCTGCTGCCCTGCATGGTCTCTTGCATTTTATGTAGACATGAGTAGATTTTCCTCGGCCGTGGTGCCGTTGGCGCCTGCTAGTGCCGGCCTAGACTATTATGGGATTTTGCAAAGTGTTGGAGACAAATCAACAGTGCTTGTACGTAGGCGACAGCAGGATTTCTCCGCAACGACCCGGCTTGCTACAATTTACATACATACGGTACGAATGCATTGTAGTTGTGTTCTTTGACGTGCAACTGAGGGCAGCACTTCCGAGCAGGTTGAACTTGAAACCATTTCCAGCTGATCCGTTTGCTGCACCCGCGTTTGTGCATCGCAGCAGCTTCCCCAGCGTATCGAAACTAGAAGACGTCAATTTATAATCGTTCCCACGAACTGGCCGCCGCAAGCCTGATGCAGATACCAATGGTATCAGAAGCAGCAACAGGTTGCGTAGAACAGCCGGTTCGCAACCAAAAATTTGTAGCGTTTCGCCATCCCTCCCAAGTATCGGTGCTGCCCCCACCAACGCATTGTTTTTCTTTGCTTCGTCGCCCTCCGTTTGACGGCCCACAAGCCTCTGTTTGACGTCCCACAAGCCTCTGTTTGACGTTCCGCAAACCTGCGTTGGACGTTCCACAAACCGGCGTTGGCCAATCCACAAACACCCCAGGCAACGTGCAGTGACTATCGTGATCGTGATGCCGTCCGTCGAACGAAATCGCCTCCTCCGCCGCCGCCGCAGATAATTCGAGAAAATGCGAGGCTGTTCTTCTTGTCCGCCCTCAGCTCGAACGCAAAGTGCGAAGACGTTCTTCGGCCGTCGGACTTCGACTTCCGGCTGGCGAGAAAGAGCGACATCAAGTCCATCCGGCACTGCAACCTAGAGACGCTCCCCGAGAACTACTCCACGGATGTGAGGACTGCTTGTGTGAGAGGGGCGTGGAGTGAGGATGTCCATCTGGAGCTTGCTGTTGTAGCTTGGTTGGCGGTGTGTTTGTTGTTGCTGTTGCTGATGGGGATGACGGTGGAGGCAATTGTTGTGTATCTGGGGCTTTTCGTGTTGATGGTCATGGGAGAGGATTGTGTTGTTGTTGTTGTTGGTGGTGATGGTAGTTCTTCGGTGGCTGCTGTTGACATTTGTTGGAGAAATGATCCTGTTGCTTGTCTGAAGCAGATTTCACTGCTGTCCCAGTTGTCCCCAAATTCTGAAGCGATCTTTCCATCGTCCTGTGCAGCCTACATCATTCCAGCCCTACAAAACAGATTGCCTGATACATGCGCCAACGAAAGTGGGAGCTTGAAATAAAAAACTTGTCCTTGTGATCCCTAAAGTCGACAAAGCAAGCTTGGTCCCCTCGCGATTTTTTGTGTGTGTCTTTGTTGTTTCAGCCCTCGTTGACATTGGTGCTGTGCTGCAAGCGCACAATCTTGCGTGGCATTCTCCTTGCGCAAGTCGATCACGTGCACATCCAAGCATCCATCAACGCTGATCACGTACACAAGGCGTGAACCCTGTCGGTCCTTTTGCTACATCCATCCCCTTCTTTGGTTATTTGTTGGCAGTTTTACGACACACATATTAAGGATTGGCCGGAGTTAGCGCTGGTGGCGGAGCATGCTGACCGACGACGGAACGTGAGTTGTTTTCTGTTTTATTTCCTGTTTTCTGTTTTCTGTTTTCTGTTTTCTGCTTTCGATTCAAGCCGTTTGATGCACTACTGTACGTCATGATGCTTTCTCCCAGGCTCAAAATGTTTTGAAGTTTTGTGTTTTGTGCTCTCTGTGTCTCGTGTTCTCGGCGTCTTGTGTTCTCCGTGTCTTGTGTCCCCGACTCAAGCCGTTTGACGCACTGCGTGATGATGCATGCATTCGCCCACCCCCTATTAATGAAAATCTGAAGCTGGATGTCTCCTTTTGTCGATTCAAACCGTTTGACGCACCATGTCATGATTCATGCATCCACCCTCAACATGAGACTTTGATTTTCGGTTGTTGTGTCCTCGATCTAAACATCGAAACATCGAAACCGTTTGCCGCATTACGCCACGATGCTTGTGCCATTCCTCTCAAAATGAATATCGAAGCTTGGCGTAGTGCCCCATGCCCCTTCTCTCTCAATCTACCGCTCGCTCTCCCTGCCCTCTGTTGCTGCTGTCCTTTATCTGTGTCTTAGCAAGCTCCCCTCCTTCTGCCTGCCATACATGCTGCCTTCCCACCCAACCACCGAAGCTCAACTTTTTTTCGTTCGGTCGTTTTTTGTTTTGCAGGAGGACCAACAGCCACAGGTTGTCGGTTATGTCCTCGGACGGATAGAGGTTAACCACGCCAACGCCAACGCCAACACCAACACCAACACGGCCCTGCCCGGATGGTCATGTAGAACTCAGAAGAGCGGCAGGGGGGGTGCGATGGCGATTCCCCCGCCGACGGGGCACGTTACCTCTCTTGCAGTCTTGCCCGGCTTCCGGAGGTGCGGCGCAGCGAGTCAGCTCATGGACATGCTTCACGAGCGGGTGAGAGAGAAGGCTGCATTGCGTTTTTTTTTTTTTTTGCCGAGGTTGTTGCGGAAAGTGATGTTTTGGTTCGTTTTGGTGTCATGATTGCGTGATCCCGGTCGTTCATGCTCTCGTTTTGAGTAAAACCATAGCCTCCGATGTTCTCTGCTTCGTTGTTGTACCGCCGCTCATGGGTAGGGTGGGAGGTGTGCGAGGATGTTTTGCTGACCAAAGCTTGCCGCTGCTGCAAACAACATAAGCTTATCACTAATCACCCACCGGAATATTCAAGCACTACTGCACGCTTTGGTACTATTTTAGATCAAGGCAATCGACTGTCACCATCATCTTCCCGGTAAGTTTTTTTTTAGTTTTTTCGACTCGTGAAGATTGCCCACCCACCCCTCAAGTCCCAGCTTTTCGAGGTTCTTTAAGGCACTGGGTTTGCTTACAGGTGCAGACCCAGGTTCACACGAATGCTGGAACGATTGCTCAACAAGCACATGTTGTATGCACTCCCGTCATTGTCGCTTGTACCACATTGGTGCTCCGTCAAGTATGCAGCGTTTAAGGCTAAGCGCAACCTTTTCCCTATCCCATACGTTTCCAACACATGCACGTTTGAATTGAAACCAAAAACGACAGATGAACTACCACTACAAGGCCAACAAGGTCTCGCTGCACGTGAGAAAATCGAACCGGGGGGCTATCCGTCTGTACGAAGAGCTCCTCGGCTACAAGGTTGCCGGCGTTGCCTCGTCCTACTACTCGGACGGAGAGGATGCCTTCGTGATGGAAGCTGAGCTGCCGGAAGTCGATTCCCAGGTGGTCATTGCTTGTGGTGACCCGTGCAGGAGCACCCTGCCGTGGGTGTGTGCGTACTGCGCTCGCGTTGCCGACAGTGTTTTGACAACTGTTTTTTTTTTTCTCCGGTTTTTGTAGTCGTGTTCCGCTGCCGAGAGAGACCTACTCAGGCGAAGTGCACCGCAAAAAAAAACTGAATGGCATGGATAGGTGCTATCAGGTGGAGTGGGAGATGTGAACACATGAAGACTACCGTAAACATCGGTATCGCACGGAGGGTGTTGCACGGCCATGAGGAACGAGTTGCGCGTTACATGCCAAGAGGCGGTACTTCCACCGCCCCTCGTTACCGTTACTGAGTCGCATCACCCCAAGGGCAACCGACACTTGCATGTTTATCACGTTGAATCATGCTCACCCACTCGTCCAACCTCTTTCATTGCCCATCTTCCGTATCTGCAATTTTCCAGCCTGCCGACAACATCAGGGGCGCTTCCGCGTCAGCGTTTCCGCGGAGCCTCGACGGTACTAGCACCACCGTCCGCAGCACCAGCGGCCGCGAGAGCGCCGGGTTCGTCACAACAGCAGCCGCCAACAGCAGCAGCACCAGCGGGAGCAGTGGGAGCAGCAAGGGTGGGCTTGTGACAGCGGCGAGCGCCTCCGGCGCCGGCGCCGACAACCACCGCGTGTACAGCCGTAACAACGTGGGCTTCGTCACAGCGGCAGCGGCAGCGGCAGCGGCAGCGGCAGCGGCAACGGTCGCTAGTAGCGCGACGGCACCACCGCCACCAACAGCAGCAGCAACAGCACCGCCAACAGCAGCAACAGCGGCACCGCCAACTGCAGCAGCAGCGGCAGGGCCGCCCCTCGTCTTGCAAGCAGTCGTGTCCACCCCTAGGACGCCCGGCAGCGGCGACGGTGGGGGGAGCCGTAATTGCGGGCTAGATCGGCGGGGGTACGGCACGATGTCGAGTTCCCGCGGGGTGCAGCACCCTTGCGGGGATAGCGGGGGGGGGGCTGCGGCTACCGCTTAGGCCAGGGAGAGGATGTTTTGGTGCGTATTGTGGTTGCGGGAGGGGGTAGTGGACAAGGCGTAACAGGTGCTCTACGGTGCTCGAACTATTCGTCTTGTCTTTTGCCAAGACGTACATAATGCGTGGGCGCAGCTATCGCGGTTTAATTCCCGGTTTGGGCTATTGGCGTGTCGGGTGTTTTGGTGTCCAAAAAACCTGCAAATCCATCTCTCTTGCAGTCCAGACTGGACCAGCATGGAACTGGTTGAGGATGGGCTTTCTTTCAACACGGTCTGCTTTGTTTTGTAAGTTGTTGGACGGTGTGGTCTGGTCTGTTTCTTCGTGGCGGAGGACTTCTCTTGACCCTGGGTATCATAGTTATTGAGGTTTGTGGACGGAATAGTTGAAGGTTGATTCTTGCTCCCCTTTGGGGCAACGTGAGGGTGGTTGTGTGAACCGAGTGTTTGTCTAGATGGGCAGGAACGAAGACGTTTCGCGGCAACACACAACTCTGAAAGCAATCTTGTTGTTGCTGTTAGTCCGCCTTATGGCTTAACGTTTTGTTGTTTTCTCACAGGAAGATCGGCAACTTCTTTGGAAGGGAGTACAAGCTCTCCATGGACCGAACAAGAAACATGCACGCTGCTGTGGTGTTTGGCGTTTTTATCCATCCCGCAGTGTCGTTTGAGCCCCGGCAGGCGTTTATGTTAACCCAGCGTTTGTTGTTTCTAATGTTGCGGAGTTTAGGAATCATTCTCATGTGCGTGGGGCGATATCATGCAAAAAAGTTGGCGAGCAGGACATACCCTTAACATTTCGTTGTCTGTTTCGTGGGGGGCGTTTTTTCACTACGGGTTAGGGGGGTCCATTGCCGAGAAACGAACGCGCGAGTGTCATGCCTGCCGAAGAACCTGTTTGTTCGTTTCGGCACGTTTGCTTTCCTGGGAAATTCGGGGTGCGAGAAGTAGCACAGCGCACGACCCGGGCAGCGAAAGTTCTCGAAGGGTGTTAGTTATGTACGCGTTCGTGGTCGGCCTCTCTCTGTTTGAAGGATTGTCTATGTAGACTGCACTACATTTTTTCGTGTCCATATGTACGTTTTTTTATGAACACAGCACCCTGGTAGTTCTTATCGTTTCAGCAGCTTTCGCTTTGTGATACGTAGTTTATTGCGGGGTACTTCCACGACGAAGGCGCCACGTGTGGGATAATAGGTTGATCATTGTAGGGATAGCTAGCAGGGGAGGGACACAAGGGGCGTGGGAGAACCGCGACGGTAAACGTCTCCCCGGAGGGAGAACATACGCATGTGGTTGAGTTTTTGAAAATTTCAACGGTGCCCTGTGTCTCACCGTGTGCGACGTGGTCGATGAAGCCGTGAAGCACAGAGCATGCCCGGTGACGCACGTGATCGCATCATGTTCCGCTTTTCGCTGACAGTCCGGCGCGGGTGTAGAGCCGAGTGATGGTGACTACCCTTGGGACTCGAATCCGTGGTTTCACATACTGTCCGAAACCTCCGTCATAATCACGCACTTGTGACTGGGACCCAGGTTTCGCTTGGCAAAACCTCCACGATAACCACCTGACACCTCCCCATCAACATTGAATAGCTTTGGTGGGAACTCTGTGGCCACACGTAACCCTACGCATGCAACATGCAACACATGCAACATGCAACATTACGAGTGAGTGAGTTGGGGGTGCTCCCCTGTTAACCCTTTTCCATTCCTTGAGGAATGCAAGGCTCGTTGCGGCTTCTTTCGCCATGTACCAGAAGCCATGTTCGCGAAACGCCTACTGCTGCGGTGTCGAGTTTATATGCTATGTTGTACAACATAATTCAATTGGAATGACAAATGTTTTCACTCGTGATGCATTCTTGAGTACGCCATTCTGCAGTCACTTCCACAGCGAACACCAGCATCGGCTCAATCAACTCCGTCTACAAATGGGCGGTTGTCGCGGATATTGTTCTACTGAGCCATTGCTGCCGCTGATGGAGCATCACACGCGCCCGTAGACAAAATGAGTTGTGCCGTGTTTAGAGCTTAAGCTCACCAAGTTCCGCTCTGACACAACACGTCACACTGATTTTCAAAGTGCTCCGTTCCTGCAGCTCGCGGTGTAGTAAAAGTGAACTACGGCTCGGATTCGATACAAGGTTAAAAGCTCATTGATTGACGACCCGGCAGTCAGCGGACTCTGGGTCACACAGTCCCTTCCGGCTTTTACAAGCAGTTGGCGTGGTTTGCCGTTAGAGACTCGACGTTTTGCGACTGTACCGAAAACAAACGCCTTGAAGAAACCTGCAGAATGAACCAAAGACGGAAACATTGACACCTCCGTCTCTCTCGTATGAAATCGATGCAGAATCGCTACAATGCCCGCCTTCGGTCATCTGTGCAGAAAATGAAAAAAAGCACTCTATGGTTGACTGCCGAATGTCGTCGCTCTCTGTTGCGTCTGTCGTGTTCTATCCGAAGACGGAATGTCTCCAACACCAAACAGCCAACTCTGCTTCGAAGAAATTTCTATCCTCTTCTTCCGAATGATCTACAAATAGACAAACAAAAAGTGGTCCTGTGATACTGCGACACAGTAACAGAGTAAAGCACAGCAGCACCATACGGTGGCAAAGGCCTGCAACACAAAATGCAACCAGACCCCAAGGGCCTTCAGGACAGAGCATTTTTCGGGGCTATCGGCACGCCAACACTTCTGTTTCGTACATCCAATACATTTCACAACATTTCACACTGCGAGCAACACCCTATAGCAATAAACGCACACACATCCGCACAGAATGGCACATACATCTGCAATCCGAGTGAATATATCTATCTGCAACGGAACGGCGGGAATGAAAATATACATCGAGCAAGGCCTTGCTTGCCCGGGCGGGCCTCACTACATGCACTGCCACTGCAATTACCGGCGTGAGGAGGAACTAATGGGTACTGCTATACGTCTGGTTCATGGTTCCCGCGTGACGGGCCGTAGACAGCGACAAAAAACCGCAGTTATCACCACCCCGCCCGGGAAGTCGAAGTCGAAGTCGAGTTATTTCCTCTCCTTCCGCTCCACGCCCGGCTCTATGGAGCCGGACAACAATGGTAGCCGCTGCTAAAGCGGCCGCCTGCATGTTCATAGGTTGCCAGTAAATACCCCCCGCGCTCGCTAAACTACCGTCGTGGGTATCTTCTGGCGGATCGGGGCGTTGGGTGGGAGGACTACCGTAGGTGATGACCGGAACTACACCGCGCTGGTGCTGTGCTTGGGGGCGACAGTACGGGGCGCCTTTGCTCCTTTTGTCCGAGTAAAGACGCGTCTCATCCCCGTTTGTTTGGCAGTTGCACCCACCATACGGACAAATGGAGAAGAGACCGGAACGGTTCTTAGTGTGAAGACAACAGCGACAACCGCTCGAGGTGTTGTGCTCGACTGCGCGCTGGCCCTTACCCTTCGCCTCATCACGGGGTCGCCGGCGGCGGTGGTGGTTGATGTTGCCGGAACCACCACTCGAGTCAACGATAACGATAACGATAACGAATAACGATAACGATAACGATAGGGAATGGGAGGGCGCTGAACCCTTCGCGGTGAAGACTATGAGGCGCTTCACCCGATCGGAAAAAAAGAAAAGTAGTAGCAGGGGAAGAGGCCACAAGTAAATGAAGACTATTATTACTGAGATAAGACAACAACAACGACTGACGTAAACATGTCGCGGGACTCAACGGCGACCCGCCTCCCTGGGACTCAGAACGCCTCACTACAAAAAACACCAAATGCCTAATCTATCCTACATGTCGCCGAGCTACGGGACAAATCAATCGCAATACAGCTACCGCCTCAAGTAAGTATCAGCAACAAACCCGCGCGACACTTCGACAACAACAAAGAGTGTCCACGTTCAAAGGCATACAAACAAAACTGTCGAACAAGCAGCTGTCACAGGCGAAAGGCGGTTGCCTCGTATAGGGTACGGCATGCACAACCTTCGACGCCACACCATGTATTCTAATAAGGGTTTGCCATGACGCGCATTGCTGAGGAAAGTCACACGGCGATTTGTGCAATAGTGAGACTTCACCCAATTGCACGACGTGAGGAACAACCCATGCATACATGTGGGCAGATCCCCCCCTTCCGACAACGAGAACGGTCCATTCCCTGCTGCCGTGATGCCGCATCGACAAAAAGAACTACACGTTCTGCTGCTGTCTTGCCGCATCTCTCCTGCCCTGCTTTCACCACCAACTCTACTTGTACTCAAACCTACAACGACACGACTGTTTATCGCCCCCTTTACGCTCTCGAGGAACACACTTCATAACCTGCACACAAACATTAGACAGGCGCTGGACCACTTCCAAATGAAAAGGGGTCGAAACTGCCAACACGTCCACGCTAACGACAACAACAGAACAGACTCACAAAAACTACTACCTGGTAGGGACGCGTGACGTCGCCCCTTACCTCTCCTGACACTAACCGTCCCTCTCGGGGGATTCATTGAGAGGTTAGGCTTGGGGCAGGAATAGTGAGACCAGCGTTGTCCAAGCTTACGTACAGTCTTCGTTTCTGCCGGTGGTTGTATCGCATTAACAGCGTCACCGCGAACGTGGCGCCTAGCACCGCCAACAACCGTTTCAAGGTAGTTGGCACCAGCGGGGGCTGCATGGGCCACCTGTCGTGGGCGTGGGCCTGTGGGCAGCGGGCGGCGGGGGTAGGGACGGACGGACGGGGGACGGACGGGGTGAGGTGTCACTTGGTAATTCGTGTTAGGAACGAACACAATATTCACTCGGTGCTTGGTAAATAGCGTTAGAAACATGGAAGGTTTGGTCGAGGAGGGGAGTGGAGAGTCGAGGGCCAAAGTGGTCGGAATATCGACGAGGCAATGGGCGGAATCGACAGCAGTTGCACTCCACATATTATGCTTAGTAGCGCCAGCGTTGCTACTGGATTGCACTATTATGGGACGGATCTTGGACGTCAAGTCAGACCCACGACGCAGGGCTCTACACCATGTCTAGAACCGGGTCTACTACATCAGCAACACAAGGATCACACCTTCTTAGCCAGCGCGTTCGCAGCCTTGTCCCTCACGCCGAGCCAAAACAAACATCGATCATAGCTACACCAGGTTCTACCGCCACGAACTAAAAGACTCTCTAGAGCAACAGCCTCCATCTGTCCGCATCTTTTGCACGGACGCGAGCTCTAGGTACTGCCTTGGCGACAACATATCTTTCAGGAGTGATACAAGGCAATGGTCCCTGCACATCTAGTGAGCGGAAAGCAATGCATGCAAGGGAGATACCAGCGTTTACGCAATGGCGTCTTAGTGCCAATTCTGAACCACGAGTTGCAGCACTGTATCCCGAGATCTCGACTATTCCTTCGAACCGTAACACACCGTGAAAACAGACCAACAAAGCGGACGAACGACTCACATCGTAGACATAGTCGTAGCTCGCCGTCGCTGCTAGGCACCGCGGACCCGTCCACATGTCGGAGCACCTGCACCTTTTCCCCTCGTAGCACTCGTTGTCATTGCAGTCGTCGCTTGTCCTGCACGATAAAAACGAAAAGCACGTTCGTTCAACATGGAACACGGGAGCATCCAAGAAAATCAGAACGCGAAACAGAAAGACGCACCAGACTCATTTGGGATTGGTGACTGTATGAAGTTGGCTAGTAACGCCTCTTCCCGTTTTCCCACCGTCCCGTCGTAAAACACATGGGAAATCAAAGCCCACCGAGAGAAGATAGGCTGGGGAAAGCATTGTTGAGCCACGTTTGGCAGAGCAGGGAGGAACCATCGACCATCGGTGACCGGTCCTTGGGGAAAATGGTTCGTCTTCGTGCTCAATTGCCATGCAAAACACGAAAGAGAATGCATCCCACCACCCCCGCAAAACAATCCTTGGGAAATCAGACCCCCAGTCTTAGCCTCTTACTCCGTGGGCGAGTTCCTCGTATTGTTTTTGTCGATTTCGAATCAATTATTGACATAGAATGGAACAAAGGTTAGGTAATCAACATCGCAAAAGAAAAATCGCCCACAACGGAATTAAATTACAACCGGGTCTGTCTTCCCACAAAAGACGCCAGCATGCACACCTGCAACTCCCGCCGCCGCTCTGCACGGAGAGCATCACGTGGTCGTCGTCGGGGCTCTTATACAGGTCGTGGTTAGCCTTAATGAAGTCTTTCGTGGGGTATTGCTCCGTGTCGCAGCCGAGAGTGTGCGTGGTGTCGTTGAGTGCCTGGTAAACCCTTACCTGAAGGGAACCATTTACGAGGTTTGTGTTGTGCCATGTACGTGCAGTGAGCGTCCACATAGCAAAAAAACATCAGTGGTTCAGAGGGAAGAAGAAGTAAGCGATAGAGACCGGAGTCTGGACGAGAGGGTTGCCATGGAAACATTTCTTAATCACAAGCCAAAGAAAGCGATCCAAAACAAACAACAGGAAAGCCGAGGGGGTGGGCTCACGAGAAACAAGGAACATAGAAAAAGAATAACGGCACGGCGTATGAACAAACACTCAAGCGGTCATATATTCATTCAACAGGACCAAGAAAAAAACGACTCTGGAGGGGATACGAATGTTCACGGACAGAGCAAATCCGTAACAGAAGTGCGACAAGCCACGAAGACTTGTTTGAACAGCCAGACGAAGGGCTTAACTGCCATCCACGCAGGAATGGCTCGTTCGCACACAAGTCCGGTTGGGCGTGGCATGAATTCTGAGAAAAGGTTTTTCCTCCCTCGCCCCTTCGCGCCGTGCACACACCGAGGCAGCACTGTACGCCACATCTCATTGGGAGAAAACAGTTCCTACAGCGACGGCTCAAGAAAAATATACAAAGAGTCTGTAGCCGAGCACTACACGCGGAAAGTGCTTTGTTGTTGTTGTTGTTGTCTTCACATCAACAACGGTTCAGATCTCTGCTCAGAACCTTCTAATGTCCGTACCGGTCCAAATGACGGGGACGCCTTCCTCCCTGGCCATAGACCGCCAACTACCCCCCAAAAAGGGTACACCCTTCAAAATGCAACAACCAATGAAATAGAAGGCACCCAGGCACTTCATCAACAAAAAAACACTAAATAAGAGGGACCCAGAAAAGGTATACTTGCGAACAAACAGGCTTGACGGCATAAGACAGTCTACAATACTATTATAATACTCACGCTGTCGACCACGAACTCCGCCGGAAAGACGCCGTCGAACCCTGGCGCGACAGCGCACGCGCAGGCCGGGTCTCGGGCATCGAAGCAGTCGCAAGCGCATCCGGTGTGGCAGTCGGGGAAGCCCCAGGTAGTCGACACTGCCGTGTTGAGGAGAAGGTACATGGGCTCCAGCGGGATCTGCGACCCGTGGAAGCTCTCCTGTTGGAAAGCATGGTGTTTGGTTTACGTTCGTGGTTAGGGTTGGGTTGAGGTTGGTACATGGGCTCCAGCCAGATCTCCGGCCTCGTGGAAGCTCCCCTGATGAGAACCATGGTACTTTTCCAAAACCATGGTATTTTTCGAATGCCATGGTATTTTGTTTACGTTCGTGGTTGTGTGTACTGCGGAATGTTCGTGCCATGTAGGTTGTTTTGCGTCGGCCCGACAGAAATAGGGGGGGGGGGGACGTACGGGGGTCAGATACTCTGTTAGGACCCATCGCGGTCTCCCCAAGAATTGTGAATGGGTGCCCGTCGTCTTCCACGAACGTTCGTCGGTAGACCGGACGGGTCACGGTCAACTCCGCCAGGAGAGGGTTCGGGTTCACAACGTCCCAACAACAGCACCATCAGCAACAACAGCACCTTCATCAGCAACAACAGCACCATCAGCATCAAAAACAGTGACAACAGCATCAACATTCACAAAACCGACAGCGATGCGCCGACAACGGCAACAACACCAAGAACATTGTCCCCCAACATCAACATAACAAAATCAAGAACAGAAGCAGCGGCAGCAGCATCAACATCAACAACAGCGTCAACATTGTTTTGAAGACAAAACAGCAGCAGCAGCAGTATCAACACCAACAACAACGACAACAACAAACCGCAACAGCACTAGAAACACACAAATTCTTATCTATGGGAAATAAGAATGAAATTGTTGTGTTCGTCGTGAGACGAAAAACACACACACACATGCACACAATATTCTCCTCTCCTCTCTCACCAAAGTGTCATCGCTGATGCCGTAAAGGAGCTCGTCATCCACGTACCACCGGAGGTACCCCTTAGAGCTGTCATCGCCTCCACCCGGTTGCCAGTCCAACCGGTACGTGTGCAAGTCTTCGAAGTGAGTTTCTGACAGGACGTGGTTGCTCGAGACTGCATCAGCATAGTAGCTGCGACAGAAAAACAATGGGCGGGATGTTGGTGTTCAGGTGGCGCACTCATCTCCCTGTGCCTAAAAAAAGGCATCGACCATTGACGGCTGATGTTCCCCTTCTAGCCGGAGGTGCACCGCAACCGTAGATCCCAATCAGATCAGAGACATGAGATACTACCGTAGATCCCAATCAAATCAGAGACATGAGATATTATTCCAAGAAGAGGAGACGGCGGTGGAGGCAAGAGAGACTATAAGAGGGAGGGGTTAGAGAACGAGAGGCATCGTCTTGGGATTGAACCCGGCAAACAGGTGGAATCCGACACCCGGTTGGGGGTATTGTAAGCTGACGCGAAAGAGAAGGCACCTTTTACGGATTGAACCTGACAAACAGGTGGAATCCGATCCAGTTTGCTGAGGAGTTTAGGCCGACACGACAAAGCCAAGAGACGTGTGTGGGAAATTTTCAACCGGGACAGACCAGCGAGCTCGAAAGGGGTATGCATAGATACAGAGGCTCAGAGACAGGGCGCTAGAGGCAGCACAACAAATAGAAGCACACCTACACTCCCACGAGTGACACGCACCGTGCACGGCCCCCCCTTGTACCCTTTTCATGCGAAACTGCGACCTTTCCCATCCTGCTGCCTATAATACCTTTTCCCAGGCAAGTCGTGCTCGAGAAGCACACCGTAGAACCATTTGTTGAGGGTGGAGTTCTTGCCGTAGTGGATGTCCTCCTCGTACCAAGTCCCGGGGCGGGGCACCCTTCCTTCTGTTGGTCGCTCCTCGATCGACGTTCCCGGTGCCACCTATCCAAATTTCCCCGACAAATGGACATAGATACCACAAGCGAGGACGAGAACAAACACGTTACTAAGGAGCCCCACGTGAAAAGCGCCGCAGCGACATCTCATGCACATCACCTGTCCAGATTAGAAAAACAAAACAAAAAAGTTGGCACTTCCTTTCTGTGGGGAGACAATAAAGGTGGTACACCGAAAGGCAACGAAAGACGATTAACGTTCCAGGCCGTGGTTGTCCTTACTATTATCAAGTCAAAGCAAAGCAGGGCTCGTTCCGACGCGTTGGTAGTGACAAGAGACCCCAAAGGAAGGATGATCAGGTGTCGGTGTAAAGAAGAACATGGCTAAGCGTGTCGCTTTGCTGTTCCTACAACTACATGCGTGTGTGTGTCAGGCGTGATCCTCGATACCGTGTCCAGATGTCACTATCGTACCATATGATGCTACCCGGCCAGCGTCGAACCTACAACCAGGATATTTCGTCGGTCGCTCTTCATCTTATCCACCCGCCCAACAACAACAACGACAACAACAACGAAAACAACAAAAACAGTACCTGAAGAGAGGTGGACATGAACGGCATCTGGATTCCGCCAAAAATGAATACCAAGCCCATCACAGTCCCAACCCAGTAGCAAGCCGCGGCGGCGGCGGTAGAATTGGCACCCGTACCCGACGAGACAAGAGGGGATGGTGGCATAAGGGTGAGGATGACCGCTCATTCAAAGCAGAGGATTTGGGAAGGCAGACACAAGTTGGCCTTGGGGCCAAGTCTTTGCCCATTGGATCATGTCGCTGTACCGTCCACGGCCAACGCGCGGTGAACGACGGGTGAAGGATGTAATATTTAGAGCGAACAACTCCGAGAGCACTTGATGGCTATCGACCGAACCAAACAAATTGACCGACCACCAACTGATGCACATACACTTGACGCCAGCCAATTAATGAGGGAAACAAAGAGAGGAAGAGAAACGGGGAGAGAAACAAAGAGAGGTGGAGAGAGAGAGGCAGAGAGAAAGAGAGGCAGAGAGAAAGAGAGGCAGAGAGAGAGAGAGAGGCAGAGAGGCAAACACACAGAGGGGGAGAGGGAGACAGATAGAACAGACCATAGAAAAAATTCCGTACATCCCTATGCATACAGTCTGGTCAACTCACTCCTGGTTTAGTCCCTGCCATCGTCTCGAGGAGGTCAATCTCGGGGGCCCCGCGTCCGGTGTTGGGGTGGAACCCATAGTGAACCGAGGCGTCGCAGGCCGATATCTCCTGCTGCCTCTGCCAGTCGCTGTTACAGTACACAATACACCGATAGGGGAGAAGAAAAAAAATACGATTAATACTGCTGTTTATATAGGAACGGATGGTATATGGTTACGAAGTGAGTCTGCATCCAGGTTGACGGGTAGCAAGGCCGGAGGGAGGGGGGGGGGGGGGGGGCTACCCATTTTTTCCCCCCTTGGCTTATTAAACCATTGACCCCTTGTCCCCCAAAGGAAAAAACATTTTAACCCTTTTTTCCAAAAGACCAATTTTTCACCGATGGCCAATTTTTCCTTCCTATTTTCCCAAAGGGGGGTCCAAACTTATTTTTACCTATTTGTCCCACCGAAAAGTTTTTCCCCCCCTTCCTATGCCCCCGGGGACCCCCCGTCTTCCCCTGGTTTTTCCATGAAAACCAAAAATTGGGGGGGGGGGGGGGGGGGG